AAGGAGCTCTAGTAGTGTAGTGGTTATGATTTGGGCTGCTAACCTCAGGGTCAGCAGTTCGAAACTACCAGCTGTTCCACAGGAGATGAGGCTTTCTGTTCCCGTAAAGATTTTTGGACTCGGAAACCCTGTGCAGGGTCACTATGAGTCGGAACACTCTCCATGATACTTAACAACGAAAGTCGAGTTCTGATTATCAAGCCATCGAGGCTAAGTCAAATGGGTACCGTCTGCAAGTTTGGGTGTTCTTGTGCATCTCCCATCACTTCATATTAGCTGGATGCTTCACTCTCAGCTCTAGCCCTCTGTGGCTTTGTCCTTGTCCATGGCCTCAAGTGTCCCTGGGTCTCACCACACAGCCCTTCCTCTTCTCTCTCTCATCTCCAGGTCAACGGGAGTCAACAGACTGTGGTCGAACTCAGCCCATTTCCTCATTGCTGCCTTTCCCCTTCTTCCACTCACCAGTAGACCAATGTGGTCGCCAACAAGCTTATATGCCTTGCCTGTTCGTGTGTTCCCTTTGCGTTTCAGTCTTAGAGGGGAGTTTGTCTTGAAGGCACTTGATTGCTAGCCTTGATAGCTTCCTGGCAAACAGCTTGCTTATTCTTATAGTAGCCAGTCATGCTAACATTTTTGTTTTGGGTTTTTCCTGATGATCTTTCTTTGAAGATGTATCTTCTATTGCTCTAGCTGTACCAGGCTGGTCTGCTTGTCCTTGCTAGTGGGAATGTCCCACCTCTTAAGGTTCTGTATGGAACTCAGGATTCCACCTAAGGTCCTATGCTCTGCAAAGGCTTTGCAAGAGGCCTGTTTCACTAGGCAAGTTCTAGAACCCCTTTTAGGTATTCCAATCATTTATAGGCTGAAGATGGGCTTACAAGTTTTCTGTAATCATGTTTCCTGACATTCCTTTATATTCCACTCAAGTGTCTATTTTACAATTGTAGGCAAAGGAAACCAATATTCATAAGACAGTCAAGCATTTTAGTATTATTTCCCCTCTTCAAACTATTCCTAGATCCCTGTATCACAGAGCCCTGTTGTTCCAAGGTTGAGCATGCATCACTGTTTACC